GGGGGTGGGGGGTGGGAGAATAGGCAGCGGAGGAGAAGTTGCTTTCATGAAAAGGAAAGCAGGGCTGAGTCAGGCTTGTCCATCCGCCTTTGGAGCCAGGAAACAGACATGCAAAAGGCTGGCTCCCCAGACGGCTTGCACTCACTTTTATTGCAGTGTCTTCCATGCCAGCCTTCCTGACACTGGCATTTGTTGGGTTCGTGGCAGGTTCCGTGTGTACCGCAGCCAGGCTCACAGACAGCTAGAGTCAAAGGAGATAGAATGTTTCCTGAGCTTTCATTGGTCAACAGAATTACGCAGCTGCTTTTCCTGCAGTTCTTCAGAATGTGTTAGTTTTGGCTTCATCCCTTAATTTTTTCTTTCTTTCTTTCTTTCTACGTCAGTCTCCAGCTAGAAGTCAGTTTTGGACTTTCTGAAACAGTCCTGAGAGTAATCTTAAACTAGACTTGGTGCTTCTCATTCACAATAGATGCTCAGGAGGACTTTGAAACTGCTGGGCAATGAAAGTTCGTCTTCCTTAAGAAAACTCCTAAGAGTTAAAAAGTTTGGCTGTGCGTGCGAATGTGTCCAAGTTTTGTTTACATGCACGGATTTCATACAACATCTTTGGTCTACTTCAAGGAAACATATGTCAGTGAAGAAAGGTTAATTGTGATGCCCAAGCAACATGCAGTAGGTACAGAAGTTATGAAGAGAGAAGAGACTCCTACTAGTTTAATTATCCTGTAACACAAGATCGACTATGTGTACGGGGTACTTACGCTTTGAACAGAGGTCTCCTTGGTACCCTTTGGAGCACTTGCATTTACTTTTGCCAGTGCATTTACCTCCATTTCGACAGGGCTGTGGGCATTTGCCTGAAATAGAGGAGAATGCAAATAAACAAGGAACTCTGTGCTTCATTCAGAGGCAATTACATTTTTTTCAAAGGAACTGCAAGGCTTTGAGAGGATCAAGCCTTTTAAGTGGCAGTTCTTTCCACTTATTTCTGATCTACCCTGGCTTTGTTACTGTTTGAGTCTCGTTTTTGGAACACACAGGCTAGTATTTTTACTTATGATTCTGGATATGTATCTTCTACAATGAATATGTTGTTCAAATGTATTTATATTACTTTAAAAAAAACAGAATGTTTTAACTGATTCATAAACGCTTGTAATTTAAGGTATACTAAAAGTGAAGATATGAATGACGCCCCAACTGATCTTTTCTGAGTTCCGATTTTTGTATGTCACTTTTTCTGAAAGCAGGCTTATACCTGGACATGAGGACTTGTGTCTTAGCCTCGGATTCTCCAGAAAGCAGGGCCTGCGCGCAGAGGTTATTTGGGAAGTGGTCCTAGTGGTCAGGAATGGGGGGTGGGGAGAGTAAAACAGCGAAGGAGGGAAAGCCAACGCAAAAGTATAATATGTTTGTGGGTTGGTCATCACTATGGGCAACTGGGCTCTATCCTGCAGCGTCTTTCTGAGGAGCCAGGTAGACTGACTGCACCTTCAAGTTGACTGAAGGAAGGAAGAGGGCAGCATTTATTCATCTGTACTTGTCTCCCACTGATCAAAGGTCACCCCATGGAATAACTTTCTTGCGTTCCCATTCTGTGACTGTGTGAGTGCAGATTCTATTTTTTTTTTTTAGTACTCAGGAGTCTCTGGGTGGAAAGCAAGAGAAGTGTGACACTGCTAAGGTGCAATTAGGCTATGTCTGTGCAAAATAGGTCATAGCAGTGGCTGGAGTGACAGGCTGGCTGAGAAGGATATGAGGTGGGGCACAAAAGGGGCCTGATTCCACACCTGTGCATTTTTCTGGAATGTCTTAGATCCTAATGATACATCATTCTTTCTTTTATCTCTGTGCCAAATGAGTATTGCTAGTCTTTTCACAGATCTTTGAATCACAGGATTTTAGAGCTGGAATAGGGCCTTAGATGTAAAAATTATATAATATTCTTCTTTTTTCTTACTTTTGAAGCTATTTATTCTCCCTCTGCAATCTAGAATTTGCCCTCCTAAGGCTGAAGTTTTTTTTCCAGGCAAGCATTAGGCTTGACAAACATGAAGTGAATCCCATATGAAAGTAATTTTGCTAAAAACACTTTCTTCTCTTTTTATTTCTCCAGAAATGACTTTCTTCATATATAAATCAACCAAAGCAGCATCTAGTCATTGTGGAGATAATAGAGACATAATATTGAGATGTTAGACTCTCTCGAGAACGTGGAATGCCATTAGACCTGTAGGTTCTTCTGATGCAGGGATGTTCTAGAAACATGTATTAAAACAATCTTAATATTAGAATGCCACCTTTTTATTGACCATTAAAAATCCAAAAGTGTACTCTTTGATAGGTTTGGATACAAATAATAGCATTTACTATTTGGTCAAGATCCCAACTCTAATTCAAGGAAAGGAATACCTAATTCTGAATTTCCATTTGCATCAGAGAAACATCTGTCCCCACCATATGCACAAAATTGGATCATATCACAGTACTCCGCGACGCACTGGGTTTTTTCAAGTAAGCAAGATGTGGGACAGTAACTGTATAGCAGAAAAGATGGAGGAGTTATTGTGAAATACTTGGAGAGCCCAAGTTTCCCCATATTCTATGAGATGTGAACTCGGTATCCAGGGATAATGCAGAGAATGATTG